CAAAGCAAACCCAGACAAGGGTGCATGCAGTGCACAGACACTGGAATACATGGTAAGTTGGAGATGACCTACCTGTACCGCGAGGAGAAGGGGCTCTTTCTGAGTGGGAGGCAATGGCCTCAGAGAGGGTGGGGTGGGGTGCCCTTCACTCTATTGTGCAAGAAGCAGGAAGAGAGGAGAGGTGGGTGTGGGTGTGAAGCAGCAGTTGAGGGGTTTCATTGGGGTTGGGGGAAGGGCATAGGTTTAGAGGCTGTGGGGGGGGGGCAGGTAGAGAAGTTTGGAATTAGGAGAATTATTATGAGAATAATGATTTTCAGGAAGCAACAGGTCCTCGATCACCTAAGAGCTGGGCCCTGAAGCCCACCACTGTCACTCCAGAGCCCACTCTTAACCCTACTGAAGTAGAACTAGCCGCAGTTCATTCTGAGTCAGAAAAGCAAGCTCTCCTGTCTTTCATCGTCTTTCTAAATATATTTTTTTCCTACATGCGGATTTTTTAAGCAGTCAGAATGTTTAGTTCCATACGGACAGCCCACTGTGTGGGGGCAGAAGCTAGCTGCTTTGGTCCATTGGGGCTGACAAAATATAGCTCTCCTTTTTCTGGAAACTTCCTGGCTTGGCTTTCTTTCTTCAGGCCCACAGTGTGAAGTTCATGGAGTTCTCGGAAGTGGAGAACCAGGATGACTACTACAGCGCAGGAGCCGGCTGTGTCCACATCCAGGACCGGCGAGGCGTGTACGTCATGTATGACGCAGCCTTGCAGGATCTGCAGGAACGAGAAGCGGAAATGCTGCTGGTGGCCAGTCATTACGTTGAGAAAGAGAAAAGTAAGAAGTTGGATTTTTAAAGGTCAATGTACACAGCTGCTAATGAAATGGTTGGTGCTGGGAGACTGCCCACGGCCTCCTCAGAATAATGGGCTCATCATCGACTTGTAAAAACCCAGCCATTGAAAGGAACCCTGGGGTGCTCAATTATACTCCAATACACTGGGAGTCGGGAGTCAGGATCAACTCAACAGCAATGGGTTCTGTGACCCCAGTAAATAAATACATACACAGTACTATCTGACACGCCATGGAGCATGTGTCCTTCCCCCCGAAACCACCTGTCCCCCCTAACACACGTGCTTAACCCCCGTTTGAGAACAAGGAAGACTCTTTTTCTAGCTCAAGTTCCCCTTCTTTCCCTCCCAGGGCTCACCCACTCGTCTTGCTCTTGTTTAGACTCTGCACGTGCCGCCGCCCCCTGGCGTTCCTGCATCACCCACTGGGTCTGGGGAGTATGGTACAACCCCAGGGAAGTAGAAGAAACGAGAAGGTTGTGATTTTTGCCCTTCTCCCTGCGTGAGAAAGGAAGGGCTAGATCTTGAGGAAAGTACATTTAGAGCCAGACAGCCCTGGGTTCCCAGAAGAAACCACCATGATGCCAACATTGCCGAGGGAAATGCTAGATGAGACTGGGGGAAACCATCCCTTGAGCCAAGTCAGTCCATTGCTGCGGCGTCCATTCCCACTGAGAGCGAGCCCACGGGCAGAAAAGAGGGGCCCGTAGCGTTTCAAAGGCTGCTTATCTCCCAGGCAGCAATGGCCACATCTTTCGCTCGCAGGGTGGCTGGAGGGTTTGAACTGAAGACTTTGGGCTTAGCAGCCTAACCCTTAGACACGCTATCCCCAAGGCTCCTTCCAGTGAATCAAGTGGCCCGTGAACTGTGCCCCCTCATTCTCTGAGCATCACTCTGATTTATCCCACTGTAGAAACGGTTGTGGTGAGAGCGCGGCTTTGGAAATAATAAGACAGCAAGAGCTTTACAAAGCTTCTAGACACATTGCAACACCGACAGGAAATAAATGCTGAGGTTAAGCTCTTTGGTAATGTCTGTAGACTTGTGACTAAGGTTAATTTGTGTTCATCAATTCATAAAATGCATCCTGCACACTGTGCTCATCATATTCATAAAAGGTAGGTCTCAGGACTTTTATTTGGCAATTAACCTTTCAGATCCCAGACAGAGTGAATTTAATATAGGATTGGACTCTCTCTCCTGTCTTTGCCCAAACCCATTGGGATCAGAATCTTGAGAAGCACAGATAACATCCAAGGTTCCAGGGCATTTAATTTCAGTTCTTGGCTTTTATCTTTACTGATGATTCTACGTATCATCGCATCATGTTTGTGTCAACTAGTTTATAGTGCTATAAATGATTTCCAACGGCTTAGAATACTATAAAGTTATGAAAACGCTGAATAGTCATTTAACTGCATGAGTACCTTTTAAGTGAGTTACCAAGCCCTCCATTGTGAAATGATTTCCCAACAGCTGTCAGAGCAGCTCCTGATCAGTCTCTCACTCTGCCCCCCTGCCCCCCAAAATGGAAACAACCAACCAACCCACTACGGCTGAGTCAATCCCCATTCATAGAGACCCTGTAGAGCAGTGGTTCTCCACCTTCCTAACGCTGCGACCCTTTTATACAGTTCCTCATGTCCTGGTGACCCCCAACCACAAAATTATTTTCATTGCTACTTCATCACTGTCATTTTTCTACTGTTATGAATCAGGCGAGCCCTATGAAAGGACTGTTTGACCCCCAAAGGGGTCTCGGCCCACAGGTTGAGAACCGTTGCTGTAGAGGGTTTCCGAGACTGTAAATCTTGACAAGTGCAGGCAGCTTTCTCTCAAAGATCAGCTGGTGAATTGGAACCACTGACCTTATGATTAGCAGTCCAACGAGTAACCCAGAGTGCCCTTTTCTCTTGCTCAGTACCTGCCATATACTTGATAATCACTGAATGTAAACCTGAAGATCTCTTACTTCTACCATTCCATCCTGAAATAGGCCTCTTAAAGTGTAAAAAGCCTTCATAAAGCCAGAAGGACAAACTCGCATTAATGCACTGGGAAAATACTTTAAAGATAATGATGATTGTCTTTATTGGTTTCAGTAATTAATGCAACTAAAGGAATATTTTAGAAACAGCTCACAAAACATTTTGATTTGGCTGCCATCAATTGAATTGGATTTGATGTTAACACACCAAAGCTGTGTTTTCAGAGACAAAATGTATTTGCCTTGACGTGATAGATTTGAAGACCTTATAGCAGAGGTGTTGTGTTCATGGAGTTCCAGTTTTATCTCTAAAATGAATCTATACAGCTAAAATTTGAAAGTAAAAGCGGAAACCTCTGAGGCAGAAGTCAGCACGTGTGCACTGAGGGCCTGGTCCTTGCAGGAGGCCCGAGCTCACGCCCAGGAACCCCAGGCTGGGTAGTGCTCCCATTCCTGAGACCATCGGAGGCACATGACTAATAGGAAACAGACTCTCTGTCCCTGATTGTTCCTCCACCCCCCTCCCAGGTCACCCAGAGGACAGCACCCCCGGGACTGGCGGAGACGGGAGATGGGCCCATGCAGGTGTGGACAGGTTTGCTGTGCTGTACGACATGTGGACTTGGGAAGCAGCCCTTCTAGATCACAAGCGCCAGGTATTTTCACCCAGAAAACCAAGCATGTTAAAATCTCCTCTCTCTTCTCCCACCCTCCACTCTCAACCCAGTGAGTGTTTTAGTACAGCTTTTAATAAACAAATTATTGTTTTTCAAATTACCGGAGTGAATTGGAAGAATGTGAATGATTCATGTTTTCTTTACTGTGATTCTTTTGCCATAAAAGGGAGTCCCCAGGTTAGTACGAAAGGTTAGTGTGCGTCGCTGCTAACAAGAAGGTTGAGCGTGCAAGTCCACCCTGAGGTGCCTCAGAAGAAAAGCCTGGCACTCTCCTTCCAAAAAACAAGTTCTCTCTGACACACAGGAAGCCACCAGGAGTTGGCGTTGCTTCCACAGCAACTGGATTGGTGATCATTAAAAACATAAAAGTCCATTTTGCTGCTCTTATCTTTCAGGCACATCATATTAGAAGGCTAGATAATAATCTCAACCTTTCTTATAATATTTGTTTCTAGTGAGAATGCATGATCTCACTTACACTCACTGTCTGGTCATAGGGACAAGCCTTACTCTGCTAAACACAGGTCAACTTATTGAGCCTGTTTATAACCTTTCAAAGTGTCTGCCACAGGTGGGCGGGGCAGCACAGTTGACAGAGAGGTGCTGAGCCTAACAGTACCAAGGGTCAATTTTATTAAATCACCATGACACCATTCATTGTTCCCATTCCAATAATAAGTGAAGCATTCTAATAAATATAACCAGTCTTCATTTGGATATTTATTAGCTGATACTCACCAACCGTTGGGAGTTTACTTATCAGATGTTAAGTATTTGTCCTGTACCAGGTAATTACTTCTGCAGGTAGTAGGGATACAATGAGAGAGCTCCCTGGTGATGCAGTGGTTAAGCACTTGGCAGGTAACTGAAAGATCAGAGATTCAAACCCACCAGTTGCTTTGCAGGGGAAAGATGTGGCAGTCTACTTTCATAAAGATTTACCGACTGGGCTATTCCAGGGGGCAGTTCCACTCTATCCCATAGGGTGACTGTGAGTTGGAATGGACTTGGTGGCCATTAGTTTTTCAGTTATAGATAAATAAGAAAGATGAGTTCTATATTTGAGGAGTTTATAAAAGTTGATCATATTACTAAGCAAAAATTATAACCCAGGTCTAATAGTTTACCATGGAGGCATGTATAAAGAGCCATTAGGATCCCTTTGGAGAGAGGGAGAGATTTGGTGTGTGTGTGGGGGGGGTGTTGGGGGAGGGTCTTAATTATTTAGTGCTACTATAACAAAAATCATAACAACCTAATAGGACAGAGGAGAACTGTCCTGTGGGTTTCCAAGACCTTACATTTTTACAGAAGGAGAAAGCCCCATCGTTCTCCCTGGTTACTGCTGGTGGTTTCAAACTTATGACCTTGCAATCAACCCAACTTGTAACCCACCACTATGCCAACAGGGAGTCAGAAAGGCAGTGGGTTTGGGGTTGTTTTTTGTTTTTTTTTGATGAACAGAAATAACAAACGTGGATTGCTTTCACAAACAGGGATTGGGAGGTTGGAAGTCTGGTTCCAGAGTACAGGCTCCAGGGGAGAAGCACCATGGTGGGGCACTGGTAACACACTATGCTGATTATGCACCTTAAGGTCAGTACTTTGAATTCACCAGTTACACTGCAGGAAGAGGGGGAAATTTGTCTGTTCCCATAAAGTTTCACAGCCTCACAAGCACTAGAGGGCAAGTTGTACTGTGTCCTATAAGGTCACTCGCTGTGAATCACTCGCTATGGATTTGATGACAGTGGGTTTGGTGCTTGGATTTTAGCTCTAAGAGAAAATTTCCTCTCTGTGGGCTCACTGTTGGGTTCTTGTCTCGTTTCACTGTGTGTGCACCGAGCTTTCTTTGGAGTTCTCTGTGTGTCTTGGCATCACTCTTCTCCTTGCGTCTAGGAGGCTCCCAGCACAGGGACCTCTGCGCCATCTCTTCTTTCTTGGTGATTGTCAGGCCCATCGATCTCCACTTGCTTGTTTAATCTAAAAGACTTTGACTCAAGATACAGCCTCACCTGTGAAATGCATCCTGCCTCATGAACATAATGCTGCTAATCCTGCCTCATTAACATCCTTGGCTTTAGGGTTTACAGTACATAGGATAATTAAATCAGATCACAAAAATGGAGGATATTACATCATACTGTGAATCATGGCCTATCCAGGTTTACACACATTTGGGGGAATGCAATTCAATCCACAACAGTGGGCTCTTGGGGTAGAGGAAATGCTGAGAAATCATTCTAGATGAATAGATATTTACCTTTGTTACCAAGAAAATGAGTGAGAGGTCACTTGACTAACAAAGAAATATATATAGGCAGAGGAAATAGCATTAGCAAGGTCAGGGAGGTACAACACGGGAATGTCCAGTTTGAAGAACGAGAAGAAGGTTGATATAGCTGGGATGTAAAGACATAATGGGAAATGAGCTAACTAGGTGTGCTGCTTGAAGACATGAAGGTCCTGTTAGTCCATCCTATGTTTAGAATTCATCTTATGAGCCAAGGTGACCCATTGGTAAGTATCAATAGGGAAGAATGCGATAAGACTTTTGTTTTCTACCATTGTCTTGGCTACTGTGTGAGGAATGGATTCAAATAGAGAGCTCCTGGGGCAAAGAGGTATGACACAGTACAGTGATCTGAAGAGCTGAGAAGGGAGGCCTAAAATAAAGGTATGACCAGGGAGACCAGGAAGGAGGAGCAGACTAGAGAATACTTTGCAGAAGTAGAAATGGATTTGAAGACCAGATATTGGAGTTAGGGAGTTACAGTCAAATCAAACCAACTTTCTCAAGGGCAGTGAGGAGAGGAGAGTGTTTAGAGGTATGAAAAAAAGTATAAATCATCAAGGGTTTATGGGGGGTGGGGAATGAGCTGATACTGAGGGCTCAAGTAGAAAGAAAAGATTTTGAAAATGATGATGGCAACATATGTACAAATGTGCTTGACACAATGGCTGGCTGGATGGATTGTGTTAAGAGCTGTAAGAGCCTCTAATAAAATGATTAAAAATAAAATAAAAATATTGAGTCTAGGACACAGGCAATTGAAGGGAGTTTTCTAAAACCCAGATGTGGATGTTTTGAGGGGAAACCATAGGTTTGCATCTCAGCAGCAGGTCTGAGTTGAGGTATGGACTTGGAAGTTGAACACCAGCAAGGAATCTGAATGGGAAACCCCAGAGATGTCTGCAGCTGGGTCCCTATGCAATCCCTACAAGGAAGGGTTTTCACCTCACAGATGAAACTAGAAGAACTAGATGGTGCCCAGCTACCACTCCTGACCATTCTGATTAGGACCACAATAGATGGGTCTTTATCAAATGCAAAGAAAGCGTGGGACCGAGCTGAAATTCTTAAGAAGCTCAGCTGTCTTCAACTGGTTTTCTTCAACCAGAGGATTTTGCTCTGACATAAACCTTAAGCTAAACCTTTCAACCTTAAACTAAAAGTATCCTCTCAGGTCACCTTTTTTGCTAAATACCAGATTGGTTCATAAAATTAATGATATGACCCATGAGGAAGGAGCTCCTCTTAAAAAGTCATCTATAGGAGACCAAACCGTCAAAAATCACCCTGGATCCCAGATGCAAAGGTAAAGGGACAAGGAAACCTGAGTGCTGAAGATAGTGCAACCTGCATGGAATGAATGAAATACGTGGAAATACATTTGCCGGGCAAATGTAACCAAAACACTGACTAGTTTGTGTAGAAATCGGTAAATGGGAACTTCATTTGCGGTGTAGACTTTCACCTTAAACACTATGTATATCTCTATCTCTATATCTCTATCTCTCTATATATGGAAGGAACCAGAAACTGGAGAAAAACCAGAAAGAAGAGTGGTGTGAAAGCCAACGGGACAGTGTCTTATGTTGGAGAGCGTAGTTACTCGTGTGGAATATGGTGAAACCTCAAGAGAGATGGTTGAAAACCAGGCCGTGGGTCAGCCGGCAGGAGGCCACCAGCAGCCCTGTGGAGGCTGTCGGAAGAGTCTGGGGGTGGGAGTCAGGTTCTAGGATTTCGTAATGTGGTCAGAGAGGAGGATGTGGGAAGTTTTCTTCGAATTGTTTTTTCTAGTAGAAGGGGTGGCTTACGATTTCATCCATTCTTTGGTCTGTTGTTTAGAAATATAGGTCACTCACTTACAACAAATCAACAAACAAACAAACATCTTGGCTTAAATTGTGTAAGTCTTGGGCTTAGACATCTGTTTTCTGGACTCTGGAGTTTGGGCCTGCAGCTATCCGGCCAATTAGAATCTGACTTTGATCAATGGATTAAATAAGAAATTTAGATTCGCTGTAAAGATTTGGAAGGCTATATTAAATGTAATTAAGATAGAATTCCACAACTCACCTTATTGGTCACGGCAAGGGTATTTATTGCCCTTTCCTGCACTCTCTTCACACGTTCCCCATCAGGAGCCCCAGGCCTCTAGATTGTCTTAATTTAGTATTCTGTTTTACCTCCCCAAGTTCTAATATGCATTGAAATTACTACACAGAACTCACACTGGTCATAATAAATTTACATTTTCTTAAGGAAGTTGACAGGTTGTAAGGCAAGTAAGGAAAACTCAGGATATAGTTGTTTATCAGGACATGTTACATAGTTCTTTCAACTCTGTTAATAAATGCCCTAACCACTCCACTCTAGGCATCAGCTCAAAAGTATTCAACTCAGGTGCCCTGGGTTAGCAAGCCCAGCGCCCCCAATCATGTGCCCAGAAGCGCCCCACTCCACAAGCCAGCCTTCTGCACAGAGACACTCACCTTTACAGGTTTCGTGGGTTGGAAGTCCGCCGCTATATTCCTGCTCTGGCTCCTGGTTCTGTTGCTGCTCCTCTCACTGCAGCTCTTATGGATCCAGGGGGTTCACTGCAGAGGGGTTTTGGGTCCAGAGAATACGTTCCACTTCCAGCTTCTGCTGGTAATGAGATTCCTCCTCCTGCTTCTCAGAGGGCTCATTTTAT